CAAGTTACAAGTAATATTTACTTGAAAGCAGTATTTCTTTGTGTGTAGAAACAGCAAATTTTTTAGCACGTTTTAGTTCCTAAAATATAAAAGAACAATCAATCGCTGTAAACTAAAATTAATCTGTTACAAAATCCTATAGCAATGATTATTTTCGCATAAATTCTTTTTAATTTTACTATATTTCTAACAGTACAGAAATAGACTGTCAATAAGGTCTGTATTGCCGAAGAACGTAGTAAATCTGGCTAGAAACATAGCGAATTTTGGCACATTTCAGTTCCTGAAATATGAATAGCGCACATGAAACGAAGGTGCAGAGTCGTAGAATGTCGATCTATTTCTCGATTACAAAATTCCGTAGTGACTTTAACCACAAAACGCCCCCCCGTGCAGTCGTTCAAATCTCGCTGTCGTTGAATCTTCATTTCGAGATCGCTTTGAATCACTCGGTGACACACTCATTTTGAACCGCATGCAATTAAGGGGTCATGAGTTCCAATTAATTTTGACACTCGCTGGAGACGGATGCAAGCCGCCGATGTAGCCTCGCGCGTTTCGCCGGGAAATCACGAAATTGGAAAAGTCCGACGCGAAGGATTAAAAGGGACTTCGGGACGAATATATCGACTGACAACGTCGATCGGCCCGCACACACCCTTGGGCAATGCGTCACCCTGTATATCTAAGAGACTACATTATGCTTGCCGACCTGTTGCTACCCTTTCCTATCTCGCACCCTTCCACTGTTCCTTCCGACCTAATCCACCCGCCGTTACGAAACGGAACCCACCTCCACCTCCTCCTCCTTCCCCTTCCCTTCATCCTCCACGTTCTCCACGTTCTCCTCCTCCTATCTCATCCACCTTCTTCTCATGTGCTCCTCCTCGCGTTCCTCCTCGTTCAGCTCATTGAAACCGCTCTATATTCTTCGTTTCGGCCTCTCCTCTGTTTTACCGGCTTCCTCCTCGCCGTTTCTCCTTTTCTCCCACCTCGTCAATCTCGATCTCGATCTTCCGCCTCTTCTCTACGTCGTCCCTTCTCGACCCTTTTTTGAACTCGTCGACTTCTCCTCGAGATGCTAACGATATCACGATAGTGGTATCCAACGAATACGCTCCGGATGCGTTCTACCCGTACTAGACACCTACTAGTACTAGACGCTAACGGTAATACGATAACATCGATACTTTTTTTTTCTCTGACTCGACTGTCTTAAAAGTACGAGTAATTTCTTGTTGGTACATCGCGTCGATACATGGCAGCGTTACTTTCTACCGCGGAGTCCAAACGAAGATTTATAGACTTGGACTTTTATGCTTATATCTACGGGGTGTCCCGTCTTCTTAACCGTCGATCTTAACGGCTGAACGTCGATTTGTGGTCAATTTTTTTCAACTAAAATATCGAGATAACGATGAACAATTTCTCACTTTTAAGGTAAATGTCCCAAAAGGCTGAATAGGCTGAATTAATAGAAAAGGACGACCAATTTTACCTTTCTATTAATGAGTCATTAATGGAGTCGCTAACAAAATTAATGTTTATACATGAAACTGTGGTGTGTCGGCGATCGAAAAACAAAGAATAAAATTATCAATAAATATCAATTATAATTTTAATGAGACGGTTTCAATAATTGAACTGAAAAATTAATCATGTTCTAATTGTGCCGAACAATACAGACTCCAATCATTGTTCAATTAATTGGATATTTACGTTGCTGTAAACGAAAACATACAGGCATGGACGTCTATGCTTACATCTACGGCATGTTCCGGAACCACCGATTTTGAACGACAAATATCGTTCGGTAGATTCATAGCTAACTTTTTTTAACTGGACCAAAGTAGCGACAAAGGATTTCTCACTTATAACTTTCCGTGAGAAGGAGAGATAAATAGATAGATTTATTTTAATGCGCTGTGGGATGCTTCTGTTTGGACGCAACTAAATCCTAATTAATTATAATAAATTATTACAAAAGGTAACTAAAAATTTACAAGAACATTAAAAAAATATACGAACAAGTTTGGAAAAATATTTAAAGAAAAAAATATGAAATTGTAGAACTCTCAATATCATGACAATCTCCAATTCAAGAAACATACACAGAGAGAGAGAGAGAGAGAGAGAGAGAGAGAGAGAGAGAGAGAGAGAG